CAATAACACATGTCTTCAAAGGCACTTGATATGATGAAATTTCCTTAAACTCAGTTGGAGAAGACTGTAGAAGGAGCAGGTGTATGGAAGGTAAGGAGTTTCGATTTGGGTTTACTAATTTGAGTGAATCCTGTCTAAAAGGATATTCTCTGATTTAGACCACACGTTTTAGTTAGCAACAATAATAAAAATACTTTTACCTAGTTATCCTTCGGTTTAAATAGCAAAGTGAATTGTGAGTTGAATGTTCTTAAAGCATGTAGGATTGCTAATAAGAGCACTATATAGAAGTATCAGAAATAGAGCAAGTGTTTCTTTCACAAGATAATGGGGAGATAGTGAGATTTGAACACAGAGTGAGTCACACCTTCCTCCCTCCCTCCTTTCCTTCCTTCCTTCCTTCCATTTTTGGTTGTGGGACTTGAACTCAAGCCCTGGATGCTGTTCCTGAGCTCTTTTTTTTTCTTTACCACTTTGAGCCACAGAACCACTTTAGGGTCTGGTGGTTAATTAGAGGTAAGAGTCTCATGTACTTTTCCTGCCCTGGCTGGTTTAAACTGTGATCCTCAGCTCTCAGCCTCCTGAGTAGCTAGTATTGCAGGTGTGAGCCACCAGTGCCCAGCTTTTTTTTTTTTTTTAATGTTTATTATTATTAAAAAGGGATGTACAGAGGGATTACAATTGCATAGGTAATAAATACATTTCTTTTTGGACAGTGTCATCCCTTCCTTCTCTCTCTCCTGGTTTTCCTTCCTATCCCCATCTACAAGTTGTGTAGTTTATTTTCACCTGAGTACCACTGCTGCATTCATTCACCCTTTCCCTCCATTTCTATGTTCCCTCTTTACCCTCCCCCAAACAGATCAATGAACAGAGAAGACAAAATGAAAAAACAAAAACAACAACAAAGAAAAAACCCTCTTTTTTTCATTTCCTAGAGTTCATTTTGATAAATATTGTTTTATATGATCAGAGGCACATGGGCATTGAGCCTTTGTGTTCCTCCCCTCAGAGTATTCCCCTTTGGTCTCAGTGTGTGTGGCTGTCTAGTATCCTATATAATTTATCATGTCCTGGTTTATTTTTTAGATCTAGCTTCCACATGTGACAGAAAACATGCGCTGTTTATCTATCAGCTTGGCTTACTTAATGTGATGTGTTCTAGGTCCATCCATTTCCCTGCAAATGATAAAACTTTCTAATGGCTATGTAGAATACATGGTGTACAGGTGCAGCATTTTTTGGATCCACTCATCTATTGTAGGGCATCTGGGCTTTTTCCATAACTTGGCTTTTGTGAATAGTGCAGCAGTAAGCATGGATGTGCAAGTGTCTTTATGATATCCTGGCTTGAAATGTTCTGAGGGGATCCTATAGACATCCCCCTTTCGTGTGTGTGTGTGTGTGTGTGTGTGTGTGTGTGTGTGAGTGATTTGGGTGTGTGTGTGTGTGATTTGGGGTTTGAACTCAGGGTCTAGCTCCTGTCCCTCAGCTTTTGTGCTCAGCTAGTGTTCTACCACTTGAGCCACAGCTCTTCTTCCAGCTTTTTGGTGGTTAATTTTGGGTGGTTAATTTCCTGCCCAGGGTGGCAGGAAAATCCTTAGATCCCAGACTCTTGAGTAACTAGGATTATAGGTGTGAGCTACTGGCACCTGGGTTTGTGCTTGTTAGTTTTTAGGATAGAGTCTTGCTTCTTACCTAGCCATATCTCCTACTTTTAGGCTTTCCATAGTTCCTGGGATAATAGGCTCTTAGCTGCCGCTAGCTTCCCCTGTGCAGAGGTGCAGTCTCATGGACTTTTCTGCCTGTGCTGACCTGTAACAGAGATCTTTCCATTCTCAGCCTTTCAGGTAGCTTAGGATAACAGATGTATGCTGCTGTGCCAAGCTGTGGGTTAATGAGTTTTGCAAATTTTTCTACCCAGGAAGGCCTTGAACCTTGATCCTTCTCATCTCAGCCTCCAAATAGCTAGGAACCATGAGTGCCAAGCTCAGACATTGATTTTGCTGAATTTACTTTTAGGAAATTGATTTGGAAACCTGGAGTGAAAAGGGGATTGGATACTTGGTTTTGTGGGTGTAATGTTATCATACTAAAATTAAGAATCAAAAGTATCTGTTCCTCTGTCAATGGAGAAAATTTTTAAAACATTATGATTGGACTTTCTGCAGGTATGGCTGTTTTGATACAGTCCTTAGTTTGTATAATCATTTGAAGTTGAGGTGCTATAGTCTTTTCACTACGCTATTCTTTTCAAAGGAATTTTAGTTAAAATATGAGGGCAAAATTAAAAACCTAGCCAATTTCAACTGCTTTACTGCAAATTTAACCAGTAACTATTTTGGTCAAATTCACCTTTAGTGGAATGAATGAGAAAAAAGACAAAGGACATTGACACTACTATTAAAAAGATTTATCGTTAAGTAGTTGAACAAAAAAGTTTCAACTTAACATATTGATTTGAAATATTTTTGAAGTTAGGAAACATAATTTCTCCATTTTTACTTACGTAATTTTCCTTTTGCAATATTTTACTTCGCGTTAGTACTGTAGTTCACATTTTAAATATCTTCTTAGTTTGACTTTACCAATTGTGTATACTTAAAGTATGCATATCATATGACATATTAGTGTTTTCATTATGCATCATATTTTACATTTATAATACAGTGGGTCTTAGTGACTGGGCCTCAGTTTTCATGTTTCTGTGATCATATTCCTCCATCTTCCAAATCTTTGCCTCCCAAGTAGCAAGGTTACAGATGTGAACCACTATTCCTGGCCCTTATTTTTCTTCTTCTTCTTTTAACTGTTTTGCAATCTGAGTAGATGAGCTCAGTACTGGTACACATAAAACTCAAAGCCTCCATCTCACTCAGCATTTTCACTCAGCTTTTCTACTCATGCCTAGCACTTTACTACTTTAGCCACACCTCCAGTTTTGGCTTTTTGCTAGCTAACTGGAGATCATAGTCTCTTGGTTTTACTTTTGTGGGCTGACTTCATACCTTGGTCTTGAGATCTCAACCTCCTAAGTAGTTAGGATGACAAACGTGAGGCACTAGTACCTATTTGTCAGATTTAAAATTCTTAAAAGTACTTTTATTGTAGCAGGAATTGACATGTATCATACTGCAATTTTCAAGATAAATTGACTTGTGCCCTCCCCAAGACCCCCAGAAAGAAGGAGCTCTGGCTTCTTGTTTTGCTACTACTAGTATAGCATAATGTCTTATTTGCCACTATTGTCTGTAAATCTTTATGTGTAATTTGTTTGTAGGAATCGGTATTTAACAATAGTATTAACAGAAATTTCAGTAATTTTACAAAGTTGGTAAAACAGCACTTTTTCTTTCATATGGTTGTAAAGAGTTTGTTTGGTAAAGAGAAAGTAAAGACCACTCAGGAGAGTAAACAGGGGAACTTGAAAACCAGTTGTCTACCACATACCACTGTATGTGGTAGGTCAGGGACTGGCTATTTTGTATTCACCCTCCTCACCTTTTTCTCCTCCCTGTTGGCAGTTTGTCAGATGGTGATTAGCTTGTTGGAAATAAGCCAAACCCTCCTGTGGGCTGTGGTTTGGAGGAGAGCTGACCTGGGTTATGGCATGACCCAAGACCCTCCCCTCACTTTCCCATGGTGGCTGGTTGGTGAGGGAGGAGGGGGAGGAGGGGAAAGCTATCCTGGCCTGGTTGGCTGATGTAAAACAACACTTTTAAGTAATAGAATTTTTGCCTAAATATTTACTTCTGTTGTGTGTGACTTTATATATAACTGAGGTATACTATAAAAAGGGCAACTATAAAATGTGAGCTCTAGTTGATCTTGAAGAAATAAGTGTGATTGTCTGATTATCCCCACTACTAGTTCATCCAGTTTGCTTACGTTTTTATTTTCCATCACTGCACTTTTCTTCCTTTTACTCCTCATCTGTCTTAGGTTGTCTTACTGATACAGTCATGTTGTCTTCATCGCTTTATGACAGTTTCATTTCCCCACTACATAGCAGTTTTAACTAAGCAACGAGGTTAGTCTTCACTGAGCTTTGTTTTTAAGACCTTTAGGTCTTCAGATATATATTATTTTGTTTTAAAATTAAAACAGACTTTTAGCTTATCATCTTTTTAGGGCTTCTTCATAGATTACATGGGGCATAAATTGGTTGCCTTGAATACATTTTGACATTTTTAAAAAGTTGACTCATATTCAGAGAATTTAGGTTAAATTTTTTTTCTGGATAAAACTATCCTTAATATGAGTTTTTGTGTTAAAATTTTTTTTTGGCCAGTACTATGGCTTGAACTCAAGGCCTCATGCTCTCCTTCAGCTTGTTTGCTCATGGCTGGTACTCTACCACTTGAACCGTGCTTTCAGTTTGGCTTTTTGCTAGTTAATTGGAGATGGAGTCTCACAAACATTTCTGCCTGGGTTGGCTTTGAACCTTGATTCTCTGGGTCTCAGCCTCCTGGAGTAGCTAGTGTTACAAGAATGCGCCATTGGCACCAGCTTCTAATGTACTTTTGAATATATGTAGTTTATCATTTGATCTTTGGTTTATATTAGCTTTCATAGGAGCTCTATGAAATACAGATTATAGTTTTACTTGAGATTTTTTGGCTGTTAAACTAATTTCTAATTTGTATTTGTTGGATGCTTGTTTTCTGCAGTGCCTTGATTGATTTAATGTTAAACAGTTGAGCATTTGTATAACTTGTATACAGAATAGCTATCTCATAGTCAACATTTTAATTTGAAAGTCTCTTTAAAATATGAATATAATGTAGAAGTGTAGTACCAGTGGTAGAGAGAATGAAGAAAATTAAAAGGTTAATTTATCTTAGAATTTAAACAGTGTTTGCTTTTCATTAATCCAGTGTAAAATACAACTGTATTTTTAAAGTGCATCACAGCTAAATATTTTTATCATATCATTCCTTTCCTCTTCCCTCCCTTAAACTTGCTCCCTTCTGTATTCCCTGTGTACCCATTCCCTGCAGCGTTCCCTGCTGGCTGTGGTGGAGATTGGTGTGCTGTGAATTGCATAACCACCTAAATGAGTACCAGAAGAGTCTAAGAGCCACTGGCAACTGACTACTTGCTTTCATCAGGAATAGGGAGCTTTTGTCTGAATTTCCTGCCCTCAGGTAATACTTCTATTCCCCATTTTTTTTCTGTCTGTAAATGCAAACACTATTTATGCCCCACAGTAGGATACCTTGAGACTATTTTCTGATTCTTATTGTCTTAGTCAGATACCTATTTCATTTTCTTTACTATTCCTCTTTAAAGAATCTTTTCTAACAGATTAGGTTTGGCAATAGACTTAAAAGTTGTAACCAGTTCTTTCCGATGTGGCAAGGTAGTTTTATAATTTATAGACAGTTATTTGTAAATAGTAATTAGTATGATGTTTTACCAATTAACGTAGATCAAATACTCTATTGATCATGAGGTGTTTTGATCAATTCTGTCATTCACCATTGAAGGACTTGAGAATTTATTTTGTGTTTACTATTAGTTATAATGTTTATATCAAGAGACTGAAATAAGACTCACAGTAACAGTGAAAATATAATTCAGTGTTTTGCAGTTTTGTGTTTCCTACCATTCTGTTCTTCTGGGTTCCTTTTAAAAGATCTGTTATTAGCTGGGACCTGTAATTGCATGCCTGTAGTCCTAGCTAATTGAGAGACTAAGGCATGAAGGTTTACTTGAGTCTAGGTTCTAGGTTAGCCTAGGCAACATAATAAAATACCATTTTGGAACAAACAAGAAAGTAAATGAACTAAAAATATAAAAAGGAACCCTGAGTGGAATTTTGTAACTCATTAGTATACTTCAGGAGTAATGGAACCATTGTAACTTTGTTGCCATATACTAGCTAGCAATTGTATAGGTATGATGACCTAAATATTATTTTTTCATGCTTCTTACCCATGATTCCATGTTATCATTTGGGAATCCAAAACTACCAAAGTAAAGATGCCAGGTAGAAACTTTGAGATTCATTTTTAGTATATTTTAGAAAATTAGGATATGGTTTCTGCCTGGAATGTCCTCTCCATCTTATTTTATTAACTTACTGTTAAACAGCTCAGAAAACCAAGTCTTATGTTATTTAAAATGGTATTCAACTATCGTTGATTTTTTGTATACATTTTTTTGATTTGTATGATTTTTTTTGTATACATTTCGCAAATCCTCTTGGACAGTTTGCTCATGAAGTAGAGTAGCCATTATGCTTTACATTGTTCAGTTTATATCTCCTTATATCTTTTTTTGGCCCATTATGATTAAGATTGTGTTTTATGTTTAAAATACAGCTGTCTTTGTATTTACTTAAGTCAATCTACATGTTTAGCCACTCCACTGTTTTGTTTTACCTTCCCATTCTAACCAGTCATGATTTTTTCATTTTAGTAATTAATGAATTTATGTTTTTATCCTGAAGCAGACTACTTGGCACAAATTTAAGTATCTCTGTTGTCACTACCCAGATGTATTATTTATTTGTTGCATCCGTTATTGCAACGAAATGTTCTCATTTCCTTCTGATCTCCTACTTCCCTATTTCTATCCTTGGCACTGTTACTGGAAAAAATGTTTTGGAAACATTTATCCTATTAAGGTTTTTTGCTAAAAACTTTTTTTGGGGGGGGGGCTGGGAAGATGGCTCCATGGTAGAGCACTTGCCTTGCATGCATGAGACTCTGGGTTCCATTCTTCAGCACCACATAAGCAGAAAAAGCTGGAAGTGACACTGTGGCTCAAGTGGTAGAGTGCTAGCCTTGAGCTGAAGAGCTGAGGGACAGCGCCCAGGCCCAGAGTTCAGGTCCCACGACTGGACCAAAAAAAACAAAACTTTTTTTTTGCGGGGGGGGTACCATTTCTGGGGCTTGAACTCATGGCCTGATCACTGTCCTAATTTGCTAATTTGCACAAGGCTAGCACTGTACCACGAGCTACAGCTCCACTTCTGGCTTTTTGGTAGTTAATTGAAGATCAGAGTCTTGTGGATTTTCCTGCCCAGACTGGCTTTGAACCGTGATCCTCAGATCTCAGCCTCCTGAGTAGCTAGGATTATAGGCATGAGCTACCGGTACCCGGCCCATCCTTTTACTTTTTTTTTTTTTTTTTTAACTACTTCTACCATGTGGGTTCAACCATGTTCAACCAGTCTGCTGAGGGACAATATAGGAACAACATTGATTCATAAGATGAAACCCATATTCCTTGTCACAGAAAATAAGAGTTCTTTCTATTTCTCTAGTTACATCATTTCTTTGCACTGAAAATGCATAATACCACAGTATACTGTACTGCCTTACCCTACATACTACATATATTTTTGCCTACTGTATGTGATCCTATGATCTTGAAACAGGATACTGTTTGTATCTGGAATGACCCCTTTTCTGTATTCTCCAGGCAAAACCTATTCTTAAAAACAGCTCAAAAACAACCCTCTTGAAACCTGACCCCCTCCCACCTCGCCCCCCAAAACAACAACAAATAAAAGTCACAAAACATAGTTCTCTTCCCAAAGTAGTCTTTTTTACAATTAAAAGAATTGATTGCCCTTTTTGTTTTCTTCTAGTTTTTATTGCTTTGGTTTATTGGTACTGGGGCCTTATACTTGGTAGAGCTTCTGTTTTCATTTTTATTGTAATATCTATTATACGGTACTTTCCATGTAATGTTCTACATTGTCTCTAGTAATAAATTGTGAGGTTCCAGAAAGCAGTAGCTGTGTCTTGTTTTAGCTTCCCAAGGGCATAGTAGGCCTTTGCTATGAAACATGCATATTTAGTTTAGTTACATTTTGATATCTCAACAGAAATACAGTATTTGATGAAGGGTTATTTGTTATCATTTGTTGTTATCAACAAGCTGAGATTTTTACAAAGCACCATATAGGCCTGGTAAAACATATCTGGGGTTAGAACATAGCTCAAGGTAGTAAATTTATCAGTGTTATAATAGAATGGTAATTCCTCTAAAAATACCTTTAACTTTGTATCAGTTTGTTTATAGTCTTGGATATGTTTCATTGTCACTTGGAACAGTTAATATAGACCCTCAGGCCTTCATATTCTCTACAATGAAATGAGGAAGTTGTTTTAGAACTTTTCAGGAACTAAAATTATAAAGTTAATTTGATATTCTTTGCTAGTATCAAGTTTGCCTATTTCTATACTCATTTTTTTAAAAACATATCTTAAAGTTGCTGCTAAGATCTTCATTAAAGGACAAATGCAGTAGAGTGCTTTTAAAGTGCCATAAATACTGTGTATATTCTTTTATTCCTTGTATTTTATTAAACAACTACTCTTTTTAATTGATATGTATATACTTGATTTAAGCAGGTTATTGAGCAGTAATTTATGCACATGCTTAAATGTGCAGTTTTATGATTTCAACGTATGTATGAATCATGAAACTAGCCCTATAACTATGGAAATGAACATTTTTGCCATCCTCCAAAGTTTCCTCATTCTCTTCTGTAATCTTCTATCGCTCTACCTCATCCCTGACATTCACTGGTCTTCTACTTGTTACAAACATGCTCTCCAAGAACCATTGAATTCACAACAGTAGTCAAGAAAATAAAGAATTGTCTCAGCTATGCAAAATTTTCTTCTGCAGCAGGTATACCATCAGCCAAAAATCTGGCAAGCAAGCAGAGCAGGCAGGCTGCTCCCCTCCTTTATGCCTAAGACAGCAGACCCTGCCCCTCTGCTAAAATTGGTTGAACTCAGGTTCATAATCTGCTTATGATTGGCTAGTTTGTATAGGGTAAAATGTATTTATATAAGGTGACTTTGAAATAATTCACCTGAGGGCTGGGAAGGTGGTTCAGTGGTAGAGTGCTTGACATGCATGCATGAGGCCCTGGGTTTGATTCCTCAGCACCACATAAGCAAAAAGAAAAAAGCCGAAGTGGTGCTGTGGCTCAAGTAGTAGAGTACTAGCCTTGAGCTGAAGAGCTGAGGGACAGCACCCAGGCCCAGAGTTCAGGCCCCACGACCGGACTTCCCCCCCCAAAAAAAGAATGAAATAATTCACCTGAAATAACAGTATACAAGTAATATATAATATACAAATACATAAAAATATACCCACACCTGCTGCTATTTCTTGAGCAGTCTGAGGCTCATCTTCAAAGGTATGTTTTCGTTCCATCTTTCATAAACGAGTTAAAACAAAACCTATATTTCAATGATTCTTCCTTATCCCCAAAGCAGTTCCTCTTTCAATTTCAGGCCAAAGCAGGAAGCAACATACTTCACTTAGATTTATTAGTTTATAGTTTATAGTATAGTTTAGATAAACAGTCATGTAGTATTCATTTTTTCTGACTTCTTTTCCACAGTATAATTATTTTGCAGTTAACCTCTTTTGTTGTATATGTATATTTTTACTGCTGAGGAATATTCCATTGTGGATATTCTGCAGCTTATTACTTTATCTGTTGATGAATATTTGGGTTGTTTCTGGTTATGGTTATTTAATAAAGCTGCTGTGAACATTCCCATATAAGTATTTGTAAGAACATAGGTTTTTCATCATTCCTTTTTTTTTTTTTTGGTCGGTCATGGGGCTTGAACTTTAGGCTTGGGCGCTGTCCCTGTGCTCTTCAGCTCAAGGAGAGTGCTCTACTGCTTGAGCCACAATGCTACTTCTGGTTTTCTAGTGGTTTATTGGAGATAAGAGTCTCATGGCCTTTCCTACCTGGGCTTGCTTTGAACCGCAGTCCTCAGATCTCAGCCCTTTTTTTTTTTTGGGTCCAGTCGTGGGGCCTGAATTCTGGGCCTGGGCGCTGTCCCTCAGCTCTTCAGCTCAAGGCTAGAGCTCTACCACTTGAGCCACAGCGCCACTTCCGGGTTTTTCTTTTTGCTTATATGGTGCTGAGGAATCGAACCCAGGGCCTCATGTATGCAAGGCAAGCGCTCTACCACTGAGCCACCTTCCCAGCCCGATCTCAGCCTTTTGAGTAGCTAGGATTACAGGCATGAGCCACCAGTGCCTGGCTTTCATTCTTTTTCGAGTAAATAAATACCTTCATTCTCTTGAGCATGAAAAATTCTACTTAATCCATACTCAATATAATTACCTTTTAATAATAATTAATATATCTTATTTT